AAAGGAGGACTTGTTCACATAAAGCATTTTGGGTAGAAATAACCATGTTTCTCTCTGCCACAGAAACTCTGTTCTCCCTTCATCTATAATATTGTCATTTTACCTCACAGTAAAGTTAAACATTTTAGAGTCACTTTAGGTTGTTTGTAAATGCATCCAATTCCATGAAGAAAAGCCAGACTAGTAAATATGTGGACTTATTCCAAACTATCTGGAATGACAGAATATTTGGAAGGTACAGCAGTTTTCATATGCTTTGCTGGATGATACTCCCTCTCCCCAGCATATGACATACAGAATGCAGTTTGTACTAATGACTATTTTAAGTTTTTTAACCTATTTTTTCTTTATAAGGTCTGCATTTTTTTTACAGTTTCCTTTCTTTCAGACCAGCTACTGTCATGCAAATTTGGAAAGAAAAGTAAACATACATTAAACCTGATTTTATGCTGGACGGGGTATGTGTGTGTGTGTGTGTGTGTCTACTTTTCCCAGAGATATAAAATGACAATCCAGTTTTCAGTCCTCTGTGATTCTCCACAAATTTATAGCCAGAGTTAAGGAAGTCTACTACTAAAATGCCCAAAAGACCCAATGGCAGCGCATTTACAAATATACTATTTATAATGAATACATTGATACAGAGTGACTTATAAAAAAGCAAGGCAATCTTTTATAGACATAACAATCAACATTACAATAATTCAGAAAGTACATTGTTTTGTAGACTGTTTACACGCTTTCATTTTCAATCACAAATTAGTGTGGTCTTCTATTTAACAGGCAGAATCCTGCACTGTCCTGCTTAAGACCCAAACATCAAAATAATAAACAGAATCTTCAGATCTTTGTAGAATTAAAAAAGCCATCAGATGTTCTTTTGCAGATATCATTAATAATTGTCCTACATGTGCCTTTTAAAGTTGGTGTGTTGTGCAAATTACTGCCGAGTGTATACCTAATTAAAAGCAAGTTCTGACATGCTGATTAAAATACAATGGAAGTGCAATATTGACTATACAAATGCTTTGCTGTAAATTCAGCTCCTTGAATAGTCAGGAAGGCATTTTCTCCTTTGATACATTAGCACAAAATCATTCCAATGCCCAATTCAGACACTTTTCAGGTTCAAAGATGCTATTTGGAAATCTGCCTGCATTTCCAATACTAAATTACTTGAATGAATTTAACAGCATCCACCGTGCAACCCCCTTTTTAATGCTGATAGTACAGCTTAATTTTTTTCTTTCCCTTCCCCCACCCTCTAGACCAAAACAAAGGATTTTAACTGCCTTTAATATTTCAAAGTTACCAGCAGATGTAAAAATTGTTTCCAAATTATAGCATCACTTAAGCCTTCCTTTATATTTCAGTGTTACAAAATAATCCTGAAGAAGGGAGATATGATTATTGTATTTCCTCTAACTATGGAGGAGTTGAACAAAAGGACAGTTTCAGTGGTGCGACAGACTGTATGGGTAAGTTCTGCTCCACTTGCCATTAACATCCTGTTAACTGTTTTATAGCGAAAAGTAGAATTCTCCAGCAAAGCACAGAGCAGTCCCTGTTACCCTATGGAGTACTTCCAAGTCATTATAGCCATAGCCCTGTTAGATCTAAGCAGGCCCATTGTGTAGCACAACTGTATGATATAGAATCTGGAAAACAGGACAGAAGCAACAGGACTGAAAGTTGCTGTTGTACTGAGGCACAGGATGTTTCATAGACTGAGATGGGCCCTTGTACTAGAAACTCATGCTTTTGATTCTGTAAGGAACAGTCCATCAACAGTGCTCCAAGACTTATTGATGGTTCATGTTGAACACTGGGCATTACATGGCCTTCCACCACACCTCTTCAGAATGATTTGGAAAGATTGTCAAATTCACTAACAAAAAATGTAGACCTGAATTAGTAGAGCTAGTACTATACAGTATACAAGAGCAAGGGACATTCTGGATCTTAAAAAAAATATCCCACCCCAAAGTCTGTAAATATATGCTCTTCTATTTTGATGATGTCTCAATATGATGCAAGTCCAAGAACTTTTCCCGAGTTTCTGATTGGCACAGATTCCATGATTAAGCCTCTATTTAATACGTTCTGGCTTGATTTAGATGAACTAAATCTAACTGGTTAAAACCTATCATCTTGCCAAAAATATTTTTAAAAACTGAATACAGAATAACTGTGAATCATCACAAATCTAAATGACTACTGCATTTTGTGAACATAATTTTGCTTTTTTAAAAATTAAAGGTGTATCATATATTTTTCTTCCCTCCCTCTTTGCATTCTGTACTGATTATGGAACAAAAAATTAATCCCAGTTGGATTTTGGAGAATTTTTCATTACAAATTCAGTGTTCAATACAAGAGTAGGTTTTTTTTTACCTCTTTTACATACAATGCTGAAGTATAACTGTTTTACTTGTTTTAAAAAATCCAGTTATTTATAGTTCATTTTCAGAAATTGTATAAATGAAACCAATCTTCAACATGCAGATGATTTTCAGATGTTTCAGTCATATAATCCTTGGCAAAATGAACAATCTTATTAATATATTTACAGACAGAACTAAGAGTTGCATAAATGCAGCCCAACTTCATCTAACCAACAAACTCCATGGAGTGAAGCAAGAAGCCAGCCTACTGGAAACATACTATCCCTGCTTCAATTTTGTGAAAGATTCCAAAAATGTCCCTCAAACGCTATCTTCAGCAATTTTCAGTACATGGCTAAACTCTGGCTTTAAAGCAATATATAGACAACTGACTTGCAAAACTGTATTCCCACCCAAAAATAAAAGTGCAACTCGGCAGCTCAGACACACATCTCTCATTTTAAGAAACAGTTATGAATAGAAAAATGGCATCTCATCCTGAACCAGTGGAACAATTTTACAGCTTCAGCATAAAAGTGAACTTTTATGTTTTAACTACCACACAGGCATTTTCACATTTTCACATCTTAATGCTCAAATAGATTGGTTGTGCAAAGCTGAAACTGTACAATGTTATAAACAAAAATCTAAAATGAAATAACTATTACTAGATTTATTTTAAGAAAAAGGTGGCAGAAACTAATATTCCTTTTATAAAATCCAGTGACATATAGAGCAGTTTAAACTACCAGCTTAAGCCCTTTAACAGTTTTATATCTCTACCTGCCCTTTTTAAAGAAAGTCTTTCTTGCTAAAATCCAGTCAGAATGCATATTAGAATTCTTCTCCAAGAAAACAGACCAAGGTAGCTAGTTATGCTGGGCAAAAATCCAAATTTTGAAATCAACAGTAGTTGCAGCATAAATCTAAACTTAATCCCTAGCAAGTGTATTTAGCACTGCATCATTAAGCATGCATTCTTAACCATTTAAAAAAGGATGAGCATGCTTAGCTAACTGAGGAGTGTGCCCATTAAATAAAAAATGGAAAGATAAAACCCCTTTCAACAGGGGACAATATTCCTCTTGGTATGTATGATTTGTTCCAAAGTTATAGCTCTCTCTCTCTCAAATTCCAATATTCCAGAAGCAAATCCAAAGTGAAGTTATGAAAAAGAAAAATATCTGAAATATTACTACTATATGGGCTTCCCAAATCAAAATGACACTACAAGGTAGTAGCAAGTGCCTATTCCATTGCAGCATCATTAGCCCTTTGTACAGCCATGAGAATGACAGTAAAACCAGAATGGGAACCATTTCACGGTTTTCCACAGAGCAATCAAAATCTAACTACAAATGAAAAGGTGTCCTTTTTAACAGATCATTCTTTAATACTGAGATTGACAGGATGAGGTTAAAAGAGAATAAATCATGGTACTGAACTGATTAACTTGAAGCAAGTGTCCCAACTGTAGGGCAAAGTGCATTTAGTTCAGCAGCAAAACAGCACAGCATGGAGATATTGTGCTTGGACGCAGATGCTCCATAATAATGGAAGGATGTACAAGGCAAGTCAAGATATAAAACCAGAGTAATAATGTTAACCAACCATAAATTGTAATATGCAATGCAGTGTTTCAAAGAGACACATTCATTAATTGTACAAGGACTAGGAGGAACCCTTAAAATTGCCTGTTGTCATAAAATACAACATTACCATATATTTATAAATATATATATCCTTGTCAATGTACTATTAGACCTCAGAAGAATGTGTAGTTCTTCAACAAATCAGTCGATTTCTAAACAGGAAATGTTGCTTGTCATAAGACAAGGCCAACCATAAAAGAACTGGTCCAAATAAGATATGCCTACAGTCAATAACTTGAGAAACCAAGAGTTAAAATTAATTCAGGCTTTTGTTGGACTGTATCTTTTCCTACTTACCAGCTGTTTTATTTTTGTTTTACTATAAATGTCAATGAAAAGCCCTCAGCAGAAGCATATACATTCTAGATATGATTAAAACAGAGCAAATCAAAAAAATCCATTGATTTACTCTGACTGTAAACAACATACAACACCATTTATTCCAAATCTTAGAATAAATTAAAGGGATCTCCCAACTAGAAGACAAATTACTCCAATGGGTTTTTGACACAACGGGTGCAGAGGGGAATGAGAGACGAAAGTTCATATTACTGAGCTCCATGGTTTTCCCAAACAAATAGGATCCATTTAAAAATGTTTTGTCCCTTAAATTTATCAGCAAGGTTGGCGATCATCTCCAGTGAACTGGTATCTTCAGATTACCTAGACATCCATCAAATTCAGCAAAGAAAACTTAGAGAAGCATTTTACAAAGGAAAAAAAATCTAAATGGCTATGCTTCCTCTATTAGCAGAAACACATAAATGTGGTCTTAAATTTGCCTGTTTTATATTATTTATGTTTTATATATAATATAATATACAATATATATATTATATTATATATACACACATACACAATACCAATAATGCTCTCTGCATTTTGTACAGTGTATGGGACAACCCAACTGTTATCTAATCCTGGCACTGTGTGGCCTAGATAATATATATATATATATATATACACACACACAATAACACCCTCAATACCATTTATATTTTGTACACCTTCAGGATAGCTATCCATCAGACCATGGCACGATAAGGTCCCTGCATTTTGAGGAACTGGATGATAAAGGAAGGTCCCCCTGCAACAATCTGAGCTGGAAGGGTATTGAGTGGACAGTTCTCAATGCTCATTATAGACAGTTTACTGCAGAGGGCCAGTTCAAAAGGAAGGCTGTTCAGGTGAGGGTTGTCATTCAGATACAGTTCTTCCAGATTCTCCAGTGTACCTGCATAAAAGCATTACCACAATTACTATAAAAAATAAACACTCCCTTAGCTGAAGGTGATTGATACAATTCAGAAAGAAGCTCTTACGTATATTTTTAAATGAAAAATAATTCATTTTCCTGTTTTCTTATTCAAAGCTTCCATGCAGGAGACTTTAATTCATGAATCATTTACTATTCTGCAACTACAGCAGCTTTCAGTGGCTGGTACGCAAAGGAGGAAATCAATATGAAATCAATATGAAATCAAGAGAGGACCAAACCATTGTGACCCTTCCTTATAAACTCAAGCTCATCCAATATCGGCTTAAAAAACAAAACAAATTCTTTTTTTACTCACATACCCCAACTACAACACCCTACTTCAAGAATCAGCATTATGCAAAAGATCTTCAGAAAAGGGAAACTCTAGAATATGCTTATTCCATTGGGCAGAACACCCACCTTTTGTTTCCCAAGTGCTTTATGCAACCCTGCTGCTAGAAACAGTAACTGCAATGTGCTGAATACTTAGGGCTAACTATTACATCACCTTTTCTTTGGTGTTCCTTTGGTATTATTTCAAGAGTTTCCTCAAGTATATACTCATCTGGGAAAGGGTATACAATAATGGACTTCCTATATAGCCCCCCCCCCCCGCCATCATATGAGCAGGATGCCACTTGGACAGTTTATGTAGTACTGTAAAGGTGATACTGCAGAATACCCCTATACATGAAATGCATCTCCATTATGTCAGTGCCCACTGAATCAATACTATATATCATCTAAGTACTGGTAAAACAAATTACATCTTACCAATTTCCTCAGGAAGTTGTGTAAGAAAGTTCTCCCCCAATCCAAGATGTGTCAGGTTGATGAGGTGTCCAATTCCTCTAGGAAGGGTGCTCAACTGGTTATTTGTTAGGATCAGTCTCTGGTAGAGTAACAGAGTATATAAACATCAAACTAACACCAGCTACATCACAGAAGTCAGCCATAACAAGCAAAAAGTGGGCAGCATTACTCAAGTATCATTAAAACTTCCTCCCACAATTACAGCTCATCGCTTGACCTTCATAATTATGCAGCAAATGCCAAGCATGAGATCAACAGAGGGACCCTCCTTCACAAAATACCCCCCCTGCAATTACACCCAAAGGCACGATTAAGTTTTTACATACTAAAGGATAAGGATACCTGAGATTTTCCTCCTTAGATGGCAATACCACATTGTGATGTTACAGAGTGTTATCACCAAATCAGTACCTGATTCAATGACAGGGATTCAGTTTCATATGGTACAGACAGCTAACTTTGGCATGGATTTAAAAAAGATTGTTTTATAATGATAAACATGGACTTTACACATGATTGTTTCACCTGTAGATCCCTAAGGTATGCTATTTCATTTGGCAAGGATTCAAGCTTGTTTTCCTCCAGATCCAGTTCTCTTAGTTTCCTCAGGTTCCCAATGCCATGCGGAAGATTCCTTAAAAGATTGTTTGATAAAATAAGAACCTAAAAAAAATTAAATAAAACTTTTAATAAACCAGCAGATACCAACTACACCAGTAGTCATTAAAACTAGGTAGTCTTCAGTGAAAATATTCAGCTAGTGTTCTGCATCCAACTTGCCATTCTATACTGGCTGATACGGCTATATGATTATTAAGAACCAGTAGCACTTTATTATGATTTTATATTTGTTTTAACTATCATCTGCTTTTATGTGAGCCACCCTGAGCCAGCTTTGGCCGGGAGGGCAGGATAAAAAATAAATAATAAAACTTTAATGCCACCATGATCCCACCAAAAGACTATCATAAAGCACAAAACAGTTGTCATTGGCCAAGAGGAAAAACACACACAAGCTTTCAGCTTTTAGACAGCAATCTTTGAGAAATGTTATACATGCATTCTCACCAGCAGATACTTAGCTCAATAAGAAAGTAGTTTAGCAGGTATGGTGAAAAACCATAAAAATTCTGTCACTTCCACTTTAAACTGGACAAAGTGACTTAAGAGCATTAGTAACTATTTCAAGCAAGCCACAATTGTAGCTCACAACCAACAAGAACTGTAAACAGAGCTTTAAAAGAACTTTTCCAGTCCTCTTCCCCTCCTGCTCTGCACCTGCCAGACTGCTTCCCTGATGATTTAGGGAACCCTGCCCCCCTATAGTGCTGGGCATAGGCAATGGGAATAGGAAAGTTGGCAAAAGTCACCCTAGCCACCCAGAAGTGTCCTTTTGATAAAGGAAAGCAGTCAGCAAACCACACCGCCATAACATTCCTGCATAGCTTCTGTGTTTCACTATTTCTTTTTCATGTTCTTTAAGGCTCTATAGCTATTATTTTATTTACTAATATCTATTTTTATTTACAATTCTCCCCCTCCCGCTTTCTTTCTCTCCCCAAGCCAATCCCTCCTTTTTCTTTACAACCCTCCACCAAGTCGATCTCTCTCCCCCCCGCAAGCCATCCCCCTTCTTTCTCCCCCCCAAGCAAATACCCCATCTTTCCCTTTCTCTTCCCCTCTCCCCAAGCCAATCACCCCCTTCTTTCTCCCCTCCTTTCCCCCTAACTTTGAACCTGGCAGTGGTGGCAGTGCCTGGGAGGCCGAGCCAGTGCAGGCTCAGCCATAAAGCCACCTGCCGCTTTCTGACCCTCTTTGCTCCTGGCTTCCCAAAAGCAGAAAAGCCTGAAAAGGCCTCATCGCTAGGAAAGCTGTTGCTAAGGGAAGTCACGTGCTCAGAACTTCCCAAGGCGAGAGAAAGCTCCTTGTCGTTGGTAAGTCCTTTCTCTGCGCATGAGCAGAAAAGGCCGTTGTACTTTTGGGGGGATTTAAATATCTCCATATCCTTTTTAAAAGTTTTTAGATTTTTCTGCACAGCTAGGGGGTGCCCCAAATGTGCAGGATAATCTCTTTTCCCTCCATGTGCCCCTGATCTGTGGAAATAAGTATCCACACACAGGGGGCCATGTTGGGAATTAGATATATAGATTGTACAAACCTGGAGCAGCCCCCAAGTGAGCAGAAAAACCCATAAAGAAAAAAATGGTGAAAGATTGTAACCATCCCCACAAAGCAGAAGAACAACTGAGATCTCACAAAACTACATGAGCTTATAGTTGATACTGTGAGGTTGAGTAGCAACCTCACCACAACAAGAGACTTTCAGCCTATAAAGGAACTAGTGAAAAGTAAGAACAAAGTGAAAAGCAGTGAGGGAGGGCAGGAAAAGGGAGCAAAAAGTGGCATGGAGGGAAAGGAGAATGGATGGGGTTTCTCTCTTCTATGAATTGTGCAGGGCCCCTGCTTGCTTTAAACTCTTTTATGTGGTCTAGGATATCTCAAAAATAATTCTGTTTACATGAAGAGGAGGCAATCAGTAGCCCTAAAGTGCAAGCATGCGTACCAAGGCTCTTCTTCAAAAAAGCACCGTCTCCTTTCTTCATAAATGTGAAACTCATCAACTTCAGACGGGGAATGCTTGCAGACCTTTTATTTCCTACCTACACTACATGAAAATGCTTTTTAAATAGTGGCACAAATTCTCTTAGTTCTTTGGATGTCTCATGTTAATGTCACACTTTGCAATATAAATGACATATATTCTACTCACCCCAAATCCAAAGATTTTGGGTTAGCTCCAAAGGTTCTCTTCCACAGAGAGAAGAGACTTCTGGCAGTGGCACAGGGGTGTTTTTGTTTATTCCCCTTCCCACTGCAGACCTCCACTTTGCCCACCTATGCTGTTCTCAAGCATTCTCTGTACCCAGCATACTCCTCTGTATTTTTGGAAGAGCTCAATGGGTTGGAGTGGGAAGGAGGAAGGTGGGAAAATTCTGTTCTGTCAGTGGGAGTCTGGTAACATCACTTTGAATCCAACTTTCATGTGTTTTAAACTATCACACCATACCACCAAGAAAAAAAGCAAATTCCGATAAAACACTGGCTCATATTAAAACCTTGTTTTTTACCAGCAGAAGTACTTTTCTGCTGGCATTATTTTCAATTCTATTATTTTAGCACCATGGTAATATTTTGTTTACTGGAGATTTTTGCTATTTATTTATTTATTTATTTATTTATTTTATTCAATTTATACCCCGCCCTCCCCGCTACGTTTGGCAGGCTATAAAGTTAATAAATAATATTGTAATGTTTATTGTACACACCCACTCCCTTTTTTAAAGCAATGCCCTCTTCCTTTCTTCATTATGGTATGTCATACCTTAGCAGTTTTTTATTTTACTGTTTTCTAATTCTGCAATCCTAGTCCTATTGTATTGTTGCTTTGCTTATTTTGTCATCCGCCTTGAGTCAACGAGAAAGGCAGGCTACAAATGAAGTTAACCATACATCTAATTCCAATCCATTCTAAAGAGTATATGATCAATGATCTGCAAATCAGAGCAAGGGGCAGATAAGGGAATTTCTCTACAAATCTGAAGGAAGTCCCAGGTTTGCAGAAAAATCCCAAATTCTTTTTTTTAAAATTAAAATATTAGAGAATTAACACCCCCCCATAGAAGAAACAATGTCTATAGCTTTAAGAAAAGAATGCCCACTGATCTCTCACTGGACTTTTGGCAATCACAGTAATATTAATGATACACCCAAGCCTTGATTTCTGTAAAGCAAAGCTGGGGGGGGGGGATCGGGGTGGTCCTAGAGGCCATAATAACCCTAGAAAAGATCCTGCCGCTCTCACCTGTCATGTTCATAGATGGAAGAGGACTCTCTGGGGGCAGGTCTGGCAATAATCACCTAAGACTTATTTCCCACACAACTCAGCCCAGTCTGCTATCAGCCACTGCACAATTCAGCTTAGCACTGGCCACCATGCAACTTGGCCAGACTTTTCACAGGAGGAGGCTGCCAGGGGGAGGAAAAAAGAAAAGCTGAAGATTGGGGGACAAAGAAGCTGGGTTGGCTGGTGGCTAGATAGAAGGGAACTAAGCAGGAAAAGGGGAAAAGCTGTGGGGTCTTACCAGGAAAGGGCAAGAGGGTGATGGAAAAAGGAATAGTGGGGGAAGGGAAAATGAGATGCCTTCCACAAGTCCTTGCATTTTCCCTCCTAAAACGAACAACAACATGAACTACAACACAAATACAATGTTGTAGTAATCATAGTTTGGTTTAACCCTTATTCTCACTGTTTCAATATATAGTTACTACTTACATTAAAGGATTGCTTTAAAGTTGATAAATCTTCTTCAACGGGTTTACTTAGCCTGCCTGGTGCTACTCACCTCTAAAGAAACCAGTCCAGACACATCCTCAGGAATCTTGTTGAGCTGATTTGTAGCTAAGTTAAGTTCTACCATGCTGGTCCATGTCCCAAAGTCTAGAGGAAGGGAAGTCAGCTGATTGTCCTAAGAGTCAAAATAGAAAACGTTTTAATGTATTAATGGTAACTTGCACTTGAAACAAATTTTTAAGCATATAAAGAACAAAATCACTTTGGTTCTCACAAATTAGAAAAGATGAAAATGGATGTACTCATTAAAGTAGTAGGTTGTAAAATCAAATGTTACAACTCTAAAGACCTAAAAAAGAAAAGAACATCTAGAGATATAAGATAACATTAACTAATAAATCAGAAAAGTTCACTGAATTTTCCTTTTCTTTTTTCTTTTTTTGAGCCCCCGGAGGGGATTTTTTAATTAATTTTTTTAATACTACAAAAAACTACAACACAAAAGGGGGAAGGGAAAACTACATATAAGGGAGAAAGTAAAGA